AAGTGCTGGGATTACAGGCGTGAGCCACCGCGCCCGGCCCAACCATGTATTTCTTAAGTAGAATAAAATTGGTTATTTACTTATACACAAGTTCCCCTACCCCCATGTCTTTAATCTTTGTACCCCTTGTGCCTAGCACAGAAATAGTAGAAATAGGTGTTCTGCCAGGCATGGTGGCTCACACCTGTAATCCCATCACCTTGGGAGGCCGAAGTGGAAGGATTACTTGAGCCCAGGAGTTCAAGATTAGCCTGAGCAATACAGTGCAATCTCATCTGTCAAAAAAATTTTCAAAAAATTAACCAGGTGTGGTGGCACATGCCTGTGGTCCCAAGTACCCAGGAGGCTGAGGTGAGAGGCTTACTTGAGCTCAGGACGTTGAAGCTGCAGTGAGCTGTGATCACACCACTGCACTCCAGCCTGAGTGACAAGGGGAGACTGCCTCAAAAAATAAAAAAAGAAAGAAAAAGAAAAAATGGTATTCAATTAACGTCTGTTAAGTAAAAACAGATTTTTTTCTTCCTAGTGCATGTTTTCTCCTCATTTTTCTTATTGAAGTCTTTCCTTGGAATAGAAGTAAATCTTCCTCCTTGGCCTGATTGTTTTTCAGTTTAAACAACAGGAGAATTTGGCCGGGCTCGGTGGCTCACACCTATAATCTAAGTACTTTGGGAGGCCGAGGCGGATGGATCATCTCAGGTCGGGAGTTTGAGACCAGTCTGATTAACATGGAGAAACCTTGTGTCTACTAAAAATACAAAATTAGCCAGAAGTGGTGGTGCATGCCTGTAATCCCAGCTACTCGGGAGGCTGAGGCAGGAGAATTGCTTGAACCCAGGAGGAGAAGGTTGCAGTGAGCCAAGATCATGCCATTGCACTCCAGTCTGGGCAACAAGAGTGAAAGTCTGTCTCAAAAAAAAAACTTTAACAAAAACAGAATTCAACAACAAATCTTTTTTTTTTTTTTTTTTTTGAGACAGAGTCTCACTCCATTGCCCAGTCTGGGGTGCAGTGGTGTGCAATCTTGGCTCACTGCCATCTCCGATTCCCGGGTTCAAGCGATTCTCCTACCTCAGTCTCCCGAGTAGCTGGGACTATAGGTGCACAGCACCACACCCGGCTACTTTTTGTATTTTTAGTAGAGACTGGATTTCAACTAGTTAGCCAGGATGGTCTCAATCTCCTGACTTTGTGATCCACCCACCTCGGCCTCCCAAAGTGCTTGGGATTACAGGTGTGAGCCACCGCGCCAACATCAACAAATCTTTACCAATAGCTAAGAGTTACTGAAAGTGCCTTTTTAGTTATAAAAAGTTGATCCAAGGCCGGGCGCCGGTGGCTCACGCCTGTAATCCCACTTTGGGAGGCCGAGGCGGGTGGATCACGAGGTCAAGAGATCGAGACCATCCTGGTCAACACGGTGAAACCCCGTCTCTACTAAAACTATAAAAAATTAGCTGGGCATGGTGGCGCGTGCCTGTAATCCCAGCTACTCAGGAGGCTGAGGCAGGAGAATTGCCTGAACCCAGGAGGCGGAGGTTGCGGTGAGCCGAGATCGTGCCATTGCACTCCAGCCTGGGTAGCAAGAGTGAAACTCCGTCTCATAAATAAATAAATAAATAAATAAATAAATAAATAAAAAGTTGATCCATTTTTAATGTAAGGCAAGTAGTTCACAATTAAACCTAAGAGGCTAATTTACTATAGATAGATGTGAAGTACATAAAAAGAAATGAATAGCCAATCTGCACCTATATAATGGCAAAAATTAGAACTAGATTTTCAGAGTCAGAGGGGACCTTAATGTCAGGTTGGCCGGTCTGGGCTCACATCCAATCCAAACCAAGCTTTGCTGAGTGTCCCTTCCCTCTACTTTCTCCTGACTCATTCCCCCAGGCTAGGAGTTTCCAAGAAGGCAAGTAAAGTAAGATAAGCAATGAGGGCAAAGGACGGCAACGAAAATGTGCAGTTCAAGGCTTTGAATATGAATTTGTTAACACTAATGAAAATGGTAGCATCACAGTTATTAAAATATTGAAATACTTCTCTGCATCCAGTATCAGCACATAATGCAGAAAAGACCATTGGGAACATGTTCCCTCCTTTAAATGCCACTTAGAAAGCTTCAGCACTACTCATAAATGCTGAATAAAAGGCCAGGCACGGTGGCTCATGCCTGTAATCCCAGCACTTTGGGAGGCCGAGGTGGACAGATCGCTTGAGGTCAGGAGTTCAAAACCAGCCTGGGAAACATGGTGAAACCTTGTCTCTACTAAAAATACAAAAATTAGCTAGGGGTGGTGGCGCACATCAGCTACTCAGGAGACTGAGGCAGGAAAATCACTTGAACCTGGGAGATGGAGGTTGCAGTGAGCCAAGATCACGCCACTGCACTCCAGTCTGAGTGACAGAGCAAGTCTTTGTCTAAAAAAAAAAAAAAAAAAAAGGTAGTGCTTAAATATAAGGGAAATTGGGATCTCACGTTCTAATTCAAGGAATTTAAGGCTATTACGCATTTTAAAGTTCTCATGTTGAACCTTCTCACTTTATACTTCTTTATTCAAGAAAATCCATAATACCAAGCGTTGGCAAAGATGTGAGGAACTGCCGGGTGCGGTGGCTCAAGCCTATAATCCCAGCACTTTGGGAGGCCGAGGTGGGTGGATCACGAGGTCAAGAGATCGAGA